GATATATTCATGAAGAAGTTGCTCTTGTTTCTGTCCAAGAGATTTTTGCCTATGTTTTTTTCTAAGAGTTTTATGGTTTCATGACCTACATTGAGTTCTTTGATCCATTCTGAATTTACTTTTGTGTATGGGATTAGATAGTGATCCAGTTTTCATTCTCTTACATGTAGCTGTCCAGTTTTGCCAACACCAACTGTTGAAGAGGCTGTCATTTCCCCATTGTATATCCATGGCTCCTTTATTGTATATTAAGGTGACCATATATGGTTGGGTTAATATCTTTACTCTCTATTCTGTTCCACTGGTCTGTGGGTCTGTTCTTGTGCCAGTACCAAATTGTCTTGATTACTGTGGCTTGTAGTAGAGTTTGAAGTTGGGAAGCGAGATCCCCCCTGCTTTATTCTTCCTTCTCAGTATTGCTTTGGCTATTCGGGGTCTTTGGTGTTCCCATATGAATTTTAGAACTATTTTTTCCAGTTCATTGAAGAATGCTGTTGGTCTTTTGATAGGGATTGCATTGAATCTGTAGATTGTTTTAGGCAGGATGGCCATTTTGACAATATTAATTCTTCCTAGCCAAGAGCATGGGATGAATTTCCATTTGTTAGTGCCCTCTTTAAATTTCTCTTAGGAGTGTCTTGTAGTTTTCAGTGTATAGGTCTTTCACTTCCTTGGTTAGGTTTATTTCTAGGTATTTTATTCTTTTTGATGCAATTGATTGGAATTGTTTTCTTGGTTTCTCTTTCTGCTAGCTCATTGTTAGTGTATAGGAAAGCAACAGATTTCTGTGTATTAATATTTTATCCTGCAACTTTGCTGAATTCAGATGAAAAGTTTTTTTTAAAAGATCATTAATTTCCTCAGAGGTGAGAGAATATTTTGCATTATGAAACAGAAGAGGATGATATTTTTCAAGTCAAATAAAAACATGAGAAACTATAGTAGAAGGTTAAAAAAAAAACAGGAGTCAGAAGATGAACTGTAGAAATCTGGAGAAAAGGGTGTAAAAATACAAAGTAATGGAAAATAGGATTTAAAAGACCAGAAAATTAAGTAATCAGTTCAAGATATTCATTAGCTCTATCATATTATCTTGAGAAATAACAGAATTCAGGATTATTATTATTACTGTCATTCTCATTAGTCTTATTTCATCTCCCAGAATTGAAGGACATTAATTTCTTGATTGTAAGACATGAACTTCTAGATAGGCCTATAAATGGATTTGTCATGAAACTTTAGAAAAACAGGGATAAAATGCATAAAAGTTATTGTGAAGGGAAAAAATGTGTGCAAATTATGAGGAATCAGTCTTCTCAACAACTTTTAAAACTGCAGAAATTTCCAAGCTAGAAATCTACAGTTAGCCAAACTGTAAATTAACCATTCAGGAGGAGCTTCTTAAAAACAAAGGAGTAAATCAAGAAAGAAGAATCAGATGCTATCTAGAAAGATATAGTTCAAGAGAAATGTAGCAAATCCCCAGAAATATGCCTGAGGAGATCCCAGAATAGACATTACATAGCAGACATAGAGAACAACCAATACAGTTTCGAGAGATATCTAGGAGATATGTCTCCGAGAAGATAATAGAATAGAATACCTGATACCTTTGAACATTGAAAAAGTATTTAGACAATTAGATAAGAATTTGGGAATCAAATTATAATACCCATCTGCTCAGGCCTATATAATCTGGCTGTAGTAACATTGTATAATTTCTGAACCCATGTTTTAAGAGACCTTAATGCTTTCACTCTTTTCTTTTGCAATTCTGTCTGGCTGCAGTGTGAAAAATCTTGAGCTAGTGTGCTGGAGAAGGGTAGACCACAGGAAGGAGAAATAAGCCCTCCTATCTGAGGCCGTTCTAGTAGTAGCAGCCATGTTAGCCCCAGTAGGTGATTGCTGATACATGGAAGAGCTCAGCCAAGACCCAAAGAACCGTCTAGCTGAGCCCAGGTCAGATTGCCAGACTGCAGCCTCATGACCTAAACTAGGGATTGGCAAGTTTTTTCTGTAAGACCAGATAATAAATATTAGAGGCTTCATGAGCCGAGGCTTAATCAAGAATATTGTGTAGGTACTTATATACAAGAGAAAAAAGAAATCTTCATAAAAGATTTATTGATGAAATTTGAAATAGAGTAATAAGAATAATTTCTTATAATATAGATCTAGTGAATTCTCTTTGGGGAGGACAACATTTTGGTTAATTGTGGTTCAAAGTTAGGTATCTCAACAAAAATGATTGCAAATACTCATTAATGCTGGTATCTAAGGAGATTCTACATATTTCATCTTTAAAATTATCTCATACAGATGGGTACTCCAAATATTGACATAAATCAGTGAACATATGATTTTAATTGAGCATATTCATCACTTGAGAAGCATTTATAGAATTCAGTTATTCTATTAATATTTTCCATTTAGCACATCATGGCAGTGCAGATTAATTACTTCCAACTGAAGGTTAGAGGGAACCTCAGCTGCACAGTACATGGATTTTGAAATATGGAAATCTAATTTGCACTTGCATCAGTGTCTGAAAAGTACTGTTGGAACTATAGTTTGAGCTCATAAATTTGTGTAGGAATGAAAGTCTCACCTCTTTTTAACTGTTGCATAAGAATGTATAAAGCAGCTTTACTTATGATTCAGAGACTTATTTTCTAAGGTGCATTTCCACAACCACATGCAACTTTTAAAATAATGCTTAATGAGATAATATGAATACATCATGTATATAAACAGAAAGTTAGATAAGGACACAGTTGCCTCAGAATTTTTGATACTACAGTTTACAGCCCATGCACCAAAAAATTGAGTTGATTGCTGAGATTTGTTACATAAATAATTTAATTGTGTTTACAATCCTTAACTAAGTTGTGCTAATAAAGAAGAACCACAGACCATTCATTAGTTCATGATCCTGTCTTTACTAGGTTGTGTGGTAGCTTTAATGGGTACGAAAGCATAGCTTTCCTCTAATCCTGAAAACTAAGGATTTTTGTCACTCATCTGTTGGCAAAACCTGACCTGAACCGACGTGAAGTTATTTATATTTTTAATTTACCCACATAGTGCAAATATTCATACTCTACTGCAGAACTTTTAGTGTGTTATATTTCAGGAGGTTAGTAATATATGCAACATTTTTTGCCTTTCTAAAATCTGAACATTTTCAAGTTCCAAACTAGAGTGAAACCAGTAGGAATTGTAATAGTAGATGTTTTTACTTTAAATAATCTTATTTATCCCTATTTTTTTCTTTTAAAAATTATTATAGATTTTCTACTTTAATCTTTCCAAATAGTTATAGAAACAATTCAGCACTTATTATTTTATAAATGGAACTAAAACTTAATGTACTCAGTGATTAAAAATCAAATAGTAGCAATTCTCAAAGTTAGTATTACAGGGATTTTCAGATTTGTGACTTAATTTTATATATTAGGAAGGGAATCAAAAAAATATGAGTATACCAATATTAAAGTGGGAAGAGAACAAGCAAATGATGTGTATTGCTGATATTTCTAAGAAAAATGTTCAGTATCACATAATCTTTTAAAAAACGCAGAATAAAATTAGATGTCATTCTCCCTCAAGCATAAATGAGACTAAATGTAATCAAGGATGCAAGAAAACAGCCATTTTAACGGGCTGCTTATAAGAAAAAAATGTACAAATTATCAAAATCTATAGGAGAGTTTCAAAAATTATCCTTTGGTCAAAATGAATCTACTTCTTGAATTGATTCTAAGAAAATGCCTAGCGTGTGCCATAGATGCTTGTCACTGCTCTGTTTGATTAAAAAAGAACCAGAATACTCATGACTAAGAATTGGTAAAATAAATTATTATACATCCCTGTAATAGAATATACAGCATATTATAAAACAATAGATAAGGGCTAAAAATATTCCAAATATATTTTAAGTGAAAAATGCCAGTTAGAAAATAGTTTGTACAGTTTGAGTCCCATCCTCTGTAGATATTGAAGTCTGTGTGCGTGTGTATTGTTTTGTGTTCATATTTTTCTGTATTCAAATTTTCTACAGGAAATATATTCAGGAAAGGAAATTCTTAATATTACTTCATATTTTCTGGGTTATATATACATACCTAAATTTAATTGTGGAAAACTAAATGTAAACATACAAGCTACACAGGGAAGAGTCTTCAGAAGTGGCAAAATGAAGGAAATACTCAGGAGAAATTTCAAGGCATTTATTTTCTCATCAGTTTCCTGTCTAAAAAACAGATGATACCTATACAGAAAAATGAAGTCAAGTCAGTTTATTTTGTGGCATTGATCCAATCCATGAAAGCTATTGTAGAAGAAAATCCATTACTTTTTGAGAAGTGTTCATTTTACCTTGCTTTCTCCTTATCTGAAATTCTGAAATCTCTTAGGTACCTAATTACTATTTCAGTAAAATGGGGAATACCACTTTTCTCCCAAATCTCTCATTTCAAATATCAGCACACAGGGTGGAATTTTTACCTTATTCATGGTGTCCAGCTCCCAACATCTTAACCTGGCAAGAGGACCAAACTAGCTGTAAATCTTACCACCCAGACCACACTTGATTATTGTATGATGGGAAAATTAAACGTGAATAAAACAGCTAGAGCATTAGGGTGTTCTTGGAAGAATAAACACAAGTTGGAAGTCTTATGTGGATAGTGCAAAGTACAGGAAGGCAATCAATCATGTAAACATCAAATGAAAGGTGGGTAAGGAAGCCATTGGAGACTGTCAGGCGCTCCCTTCAATAAATGGCTTATTCCAGTGCTTTTCCTTTTCACTCAGTTTAGAAAAGAATTCTGTGGAATCTCTAACAGACACCAAAAGATTTTGTAACTTCTTACTCTTGTTTAACAGTAACACTTTGAACAGAATGAGCTCAGCTCATTGAGGAGTTTTTAGTTTATATGAAAGGGACACAAATATGTCATAGTGCAAACCTCCCTGACTTTTTTTCCTCCCACAAACAGGAAACTGTTAAGGCAGCAATAATAGAAGAGCAGCAGCGAAGTGAAAAGGCTGTGGAAGAGGCAGTGAAAAGAACAAGAGATGAATTGATAGACTATGTGAAAGAGCAGAAGAGGGTAAGTGTCCCCCTGAAGGATTTTAATTTGTGCTTCCATAAACTGACATGCAATAACATGAAATTTTAAAATATGTAAAATGTCCTTTATCTAATTTAGGAATCTCCATGTAAGATTATTTTTCTGATATAATTATATTTTCTAATAGTTACATCTGTAAACATAAAACCCATCTCATCAACCAAGAAGCAACACTCAGTAATTCTTTGCTAGATTCCTAGAAAATGACCTATAGCATTTCCAATTCAATGGGACACATGAAAAGTAGACAGTGTCAGATTTTTAGCTTTTTGCTGTAAGTTTGTTAATTTTTTCCACGTTGAAGTCTTTATGTCGGGCCTGTTAACACCACTGTGGTTCTAAGGACTTTGTAACAGCAAATTAAGGCTCTTTTGCCATAGCTCCATTTCCACAACATAATTCAGAATATGTTTGTCAGGATTTAGCATGTATACTGAAGCTTTACAAAATAAATGTACAGTTTAATCATTTCAGTGCAACATGAAATTTACAAAATAAATTTCAGTACAACATGGTTTATTAACGTGTGAGTCTGAACAGTGACCAAAAATAATAGGTCAAACTTAATTGATAATCTTTTCATCAAATCTTTAGTCTTAAGTAATATCCAAGATGAAAATCCCTTAAGGTGAGATGTTTAATGTAAATTCTGAAATAAACATTGTATTATAATGTATAAGTTCTCTCACAGTGTTTTATGTTTTATTTTTATGTTTACAACATGCTATATAAGCAATATATTCTAGGATTATATATGATATTAGGTATAAATATATAATATAAACAATATATATCTTGTGTTATGTAATATTACATATGATAAAAACAAATAAAATATAAAACATACTGTTTGAAGAAACTTGACACATAATGCTTAGACTAAGTTAATGGAAGTCTAAATGGCAAAATAAATGGAAAATATAAGATTATCCTCAGTTGGCAGTTAAGTTGAAGGCATGGAGTGTAAAAAGCTTGTGACAACTCTTTAGTCCCACACTCTTCATTTGAAGTCAAATTTGATATGATTCAAAGAAAATTCTTACCTCCAGTTACTACCTTAGCATTTCACCAAAGGAGAATTTTGGTAAAAATTGCTAAGTAGGCTTTACAGATAAATGAACCATTCACAGAATTATTTTGTGTGGGACTAAATCTTTGTGCTTGTTACCAATATGTTTTTAAAAGCCTTGTCACCCAAATTCTTGATGACCAAACATTCTGAAGAGAAAATTCTGAGCCAAAAATAGTCAGTGGATTTTTCATGAAGTGATATATTCTCAGAAAATGCCTATTTCTTTATGTAACCCCCTAGAGTTTATTTTAAATAAGCTGGTTTGGAAGTCATCCCACAAAGGGTTTGCACACATACAGGAACTGCAGTAGTGAAAGAACATAGACCTGAAGTCTTGTTCTAAGAATCTAAGATGTCTTGTGGGCATATCCTTCTTTACCATGTTGTTTTAGTAATATATGACCAATCCTTATTTGAGTGCTAAATCTGCACAAAATATTACATAGCAAAGCAAACCCATTCATAAGATTATCTTAGATTAATACTTCTTTTATCAAAATGGGAGGTTTTTCATTAAAAAATGTAAAAATCATATTTTCCCCTCAATAGAATGATGTTACTGCCATAAAAAATATTTAAAATGAGAGCAAGAAATGCGTGTATGGGAGTTATTTGTTCCCTGTGTGAGGTGAATGGACAATGAGCTCTGCCATTTAATCTATATGTTCTTGCAAATTACCTTAAGGATTAGTATTCATTTGTATTGGGTATACTAGTCATCACATGTAGAAAAGTCCATTAATAATAACAAAATCATGACACCATTAGATTCTCTTTGCACCAAAGTTCCACTTCTCTGTGTTTGTTCTATCTTAAGGAGAATAAATTTAATATCTTAAGGAGTGTCAGAAATCAATGTGTGTAATAAAATAGAACAGCTAGAGTAAGGACTCAATAACTATGTGCTCTGATTTTTATCAGTGGTGCCACATTATTAAAAAAAAAAGGACACTCCTAATTGCATTATTTTTTGCTGATTAAAAAATGTGCTTTTCAGATTAATATTTGGCATTCTATTTTCTCTGGAGTTTACAGTGTGATTCTAAAAGTTTATTCTGTTCTTGTTACTAGAGTCACAGAAGAGTCGAACTGATTTAATCAGAGTACTAGTAGGAAGTTTATTACTTCCACTTTGGGATTTGGAGGGTTTTTTCATAACGCACTTTGTGGAATACTTCTAATATTTGAATCTTTCCATCTCTCCAAACAGAAATGCTATAAAAAAGGAAGTGGGTAAAATATCTGAAATGAAAGCACCAACTAATTTCTAGGCTTCTTTTTTTATATAACTTTTTAAAAATTAAGATTCTCAATACTCCTCTTCTTTCCCAAAATGTATTTCAGTGTTTCAAGTTAATTTTCATGAATATTTTAGGGCCTGGAAATTTTTCACCAAAAATAAGATATCTCATAGCTTATAAAGTAATATTTAGTAGAAACTAAAGTTTTTTTAGCAGATTCATAATCTTCTTGATGTTTTCCAAAAGACTAAATTCGGGCAACTCATCTCTACTTCTTCCTTTGTAAGACGGGTTTCTATTTGCATCAGAGAACACTTCTCCAGTGTTTTCCAGAACAGAAATTTTCCTTTCTCCTGTCCAGCTTTTTATAACTAGAGAGTCAACTTGAGATTTTCAACATTAGACACCTCAAAAACCCGGTAGACCTTGGTTCCAACTGGGCTTACATTCCAGTCTGTGAAGTAATCTTCCCCTTTTGAAGTTTTAAAAAATCTTTGAAAGAAAAGAAGTCCAATGTTTGTTAGTTCCTGTCTTTATGTCTTTTGTTCTGAATATTTCCTTTGACATCATCTTACCCTTACCAAATTCACTGAAAGACTGAAATGAAGACTCTTTTCCCTTTATTTTTTCTTCATTCTTTTACTTTTAAAAGAACAGAGTGTCATAAAATGAAAAATTCAAATGCTTAACTTTTCATGTAACTTACACTTTCCCTACAATATAAATGCAGTAGAATTACAAATCACCATAGAGAGCATTGCTTCTATGTATCTGCAGTCAACAAGTTTTTAATCAATTACCCAATCCTTTTGAATATTATAGTTATACTGAGAATTAAAATCAGAATCATACTGAGAAAATATTTTACTTTTAAATGTAATTTACCAGGCTTTTTTTTATATGTTTTGCATCAAATCGATAGGGATATCATCAAACTTTATAAATATTTACTATTCATCTGGTCTGAACACCTTGGACAGGGCCAAGGGGGCTAACTTATTCATGTGCTAATTAAATGAGTCATAATTTACACTGACATTGCATCCTACATTATTTACTAAGTCAGATACTTCATACTTATATTATTAGTCTGAGTTATAATAATTAGTATGTAATTAGTAATGTATATAATTATTAGTATGTAACCAAAAATTAGTATATGATCAAAATATCCAAACAAGAAGAATTTTTAAAATGATCAGCCAGAAAAAAAATTCAATAATGAATCTTTTCCAGTGATAAAAATGCTTTCTGATAAGAATTCTAAATGATAGTTATTTTTTTTAATTCCTCTGTAAATCTATCTTGTTAATCTAAGAAAAAATATTATTATATTCACAAATTTATTATTGAGTTGAAAGTTAATGTTTTGTAGCCTCAGCTCTCAAAGTTTCCATATTAGATCATAGTAATTGCCCAATTTTTAAATGACTTTAGAAATTCCATTGTAATTTGTACAATAGAAAAGAAATGGCAAATAAAAAAACCTGAAAAGCTTAAAAAATATATTTAATTTGTCTGAGAATCAGCTGGGTACCTACAAGTATAGTGGTTTGCATTGTCAGGCCATACTACATTTTATTAAAATTTAAATTTTGGTTCAAAACTCTCTTAAATCATTGTAAATTCCAGTTAAGGGATTGCACACTACAGTGCAAGTGGGTCAAATCTGACTTGCTTCCTGTTTGTATAAGTAAAGTTTTATTGAAATACACATTCATTCATTTATATATTGTTCTTTGGTTTCATGCTGCAACCGAATTGAGTAGTTGATATTAATTGCCAGATAAGGTATTACAATATATTAGATCTGCTCATTAGTGCCAAAAATATTGTTTTAGTCTAAAGGAGATTGAAGAGAACTGAGATGGGAAAGACCACATCCCTTCACACTCCCCCAGGGAGGATGAATTTGTGGTTTATAATGACCTGTGGCCCTTGGATTAGAATGAAGTATTCCAACCCATCCCACAAGCTGAGCCCGTTACACATGAACTAGCTATGAGGGAGGAAGTGTGGATGACATTCAGCAAGCAGCAGCTGCTCACAGCCAGGCAGTGATTCCTAAAAAATAAAATCTCTTCCAAATGTAATAAAAGATTATTATTTTTTCCTCTTAAGATGCAGAATTATGGCCTGTGTTTTCTAAATCACCTCCAGGAAAATAATCTTCACATTAGAGGATCCTTTTAATTTAGATCTTTAGGAAAGAGTAAGGAGCAGTTATCTTCACTTCAAAGTTTTTGTGGTCAAGGCATTGTCAGAATTTCATAATTGTAAGAGGACCCACTTAATCCAGTTCTGCTGAAATATTCTTGAGTGCTTGTATCTGAAACTATTTATTAAGAAGAAATATTTGGCCAAAATGAACTCTCTTTAGTTTCTACTAGTTCTAATTACTTGAATTAAACATGATTTCAAGGCAAGTTATTGAACATCTTGTGGTGTCTTACTTTTCTCTTCTTATTGACATGGAAGTTGGACTAGCTAATCTCTAATGTCTCTTACAGTTCTCAAATCTATTAAGATTATGAGTAACGTTTTCTTTGACCACTCATGAGACTCCCAGCAGGTTTTTAATTCTTGGTATAAATCAGTTGCATTATAGTAATTATCATATAAATTATTTATATTTTAGTTCAGAAAAATGGCCCTTTTTTGGCATT